TAAAAATGTTTCCCATGAGTTACTGCAAAAAAAAAAAAGCAAAAAAAAAAAAAAAGAAATCAAACCAACCAACCTTCCCCCCCCACACTCCTCACCAACCCCCCCAGCCCCGGCAGCGCCCGCCCTCCCGCGCCGCTGCCAGCTCCCCCCGGCCCTCGGCTTCGCCGCGAGAGAAAACAGCCCGAAACAGCCGGAATTGCCGCCAAAAATCCCCCCGGCGGCCCCTGACGCCGCTGCCAAGACCCTCCCGTGTGTGGGGAGGGGGGGAGGAGGGCAGCCGAGGGGGGTGGGAGCGAGCGAGGGGTGTCCTGGACCCCCGAGCGGGGAGCCAGGGGGGCCCACGAGGGACCCCGGTGTCCGGGGGGGACCTTGGCATCCAGGTGGCCTCGGAGAGAACGTGCCGGATGGTTCTGGCAGGGGCCCAGGCAGCCGAGGAGGGGAGACCCGGGCGTTTTGGGGGGCACCGTGGCACGGGCAGGGGTGTCTGGCATCGGAGGGGGAACCGTGGGGCTCGGGGGGGTGGTCCTGGCACTGGTGGGGGGGGTCCCGGGCTACGCAGAGGAAGCGCCCGCCCGGTCCTGCCGCAGCCACGTGGAGCATCCAGGCGCCCGGGCGGCTCGAGGGGAACCCGGGCATCCGCCCCCCCCGCCTCCCCGAGCCCCGAACCGGGACCGCGGCATCCGGGCCGGGCCGGGGGGGAGCGCGGGGGGGGTCCCGAGCGGCTCCGCGGGGGCACCGGCGGCGGATTCCGGGCGGTGCCGCGGCCATCGCCGCGGTTTGGCACGGCGGGACCGCGGCCGTTCCGGGCGTTCCCCGCAGCCCCGGCCCCGCTCCCGCCCCGGCGCGGACCCCGCGGCCCGGCCCCCGCCGTGGCCCGGTGCCAGCCCGGGCCGGGGGGGGCCCCGCGGTGCTGCGGCGTCCAAGAAAGCTTTTTGTGGCCCATCAATAATTCAGGGCCCCCCCGGCCCGGCCAAGGGCTCCTCCATTATTGATGCCGCCAGCGACCGGGGGGACACGGGGGGACACGGGGGGGGACACGGGGAGGGGGCTGAGCTCGGCACTGCGACACGGGGGTGCGGCAGCGCCGGGCGGGCACGCGCGGAGCCACGCGTGCCCGGGGGTCACGCACAAAGCCACGCGTGCCCCCCGGTTTGTCCCCCACGGTGTGTCCCCTCGGTTTGTCCCCCTTGCCTCCCCCTGCCCCGATTGCATCAGCCACAGCACGGGGGGCACCGGGCCTGGCACGCGGCCGGGACGTGCCACACGCCCGGGTGTCACGCACGTGTGTCACACGCGTGTCACCGGCACGGCCGCCACGTGTGCAAGGCGGCCGCGACACGCCAAGTGCGTGACACACGCGTGTGCTGCCTCTGTCCTCGTCACACCTGTGCCCTGTCCCTCGATTGTCACCGCCGTGCCCCATCACACGGGTGTCACAGCCATGCCCCGTCACACGCGTGTCACCGCCGTGCCCTGTCCCGCGTGTGCGTGTCACACCTGTGCCACGCACGGCTCCTGCCGGCCCAGCACCGCAGCCCAGGGCCGGTGAGGGGCTTGGCCACCACCCCCGCGGCCACCGGGGCACCGGCAGAGGGCCGGGGGTGTCCCCACCGCAAGGGTCACCCCGGCGGTGACAGCACTGGGGATGCCGGGGTGGTGACAGTGACGGGGACGGGCAGGGGGTGGCTCCACGAGGCGGGGAGGGGACACGGGGGGACCCCGAGGGACACGGAGGGGACACAAAGGGACACGGGAAGGACGCAGGGGAGCAGCCGTGGCACCGACAGCCGGAGCCCGAGGTGTCCCCAAGGAGGCCGGAGCCGCTGCCGGGACACCGGGAGACACCGGCAGGACACCGGCCGGTGCTGCACCAAGGCCGGCCCGCGCCCGCCGGTCCCGCAGCGCTGCCGGTGCAACCCGGCGCCCGAAATCCGCCGGTGGCACCGGCCCAAACCCTCCCCGGAGCGGCCGCAGGGCGGCACGAGGGGAGCGCGGCCGCGCCCGCGGGTGCCCAAAACGGGGCCCGGGGGGGGCGCGGGGCACACGCGTGTCCGCGGGCACGGGCGGGCCGCGGCGTGTGCGGGCAGGGGCACACGCGTGTGCGCTGGCGTGTCCCTGGCGCGTGCACACGCGTGTGCGGGGCGGGCGCCGAAGCTGCGAGAAGCGCCGCTGGCCGCCGGCCCAGACGCAACCGGCCGCCAAAACCGCCCCGAAAAGCGGGAGAAAAGGGCAACGCCGGCGGCGGCGGGGGGGGCAACAGCAACGCCCGGCGGGGGCGGCCGGGCCGCCCCGCAAACCGCGCTGGGGGGGACACCGGGGGCGTCCCGGGACAGCGCGGAGGGGCCCGGACCCCTGACGGGGACCCCCGCGCCGCAGCCCCCGAGTTCTGCCCTCCCCGAGAAGCGGCCGCTGCTGCTCCTCCCCCCTCTAAAGCGGCTCCCGGGCCCCCCCCCGACCCCACGGCCCGCCGCGATCGCCCCGCAGCCCCCCCCACAACGAGGTGCTCCCCGGACACGGTGCCCCCGGGGGGCTTCGCCCTCGTCCAGCCCACGAAGTCGCCCCCGGAGCCTCCGGGTCGCGCTCTGACGGGTCCCGGAGCCAAAACCCCGCTCCGGGGCCGGGGTCTCACCCGTCCCGGCGCTGCCGTGGACGCGAAACCCCCCCCCGTGGCACCGGCGGCTCCGACCCCGGGGTCCCCCACCGAAGCCGGGGAGAACCCCGGCGGCAACGGGGATCCGCGACGGCACCGGGCCGAACGTTCCGGCGCTCAGATCCGCTCCGCATCGCGGCAGAACCGGGAGCCCCTGCACCGTGGAGCCGACCGGGGCCGCTCCGGGACGGCAGCCACGGACCGGCCCCATCTCGGTCCCCGCAGCCGCCGCTGCCCCGGGAGGTACCGGCGCCCGCGGAGGGGTCGCAACCCCACCCATTACACCCCATTTTAGAGGGCAACAGCCGATCGCACCGGTGTGTCCCCCCCACCCCACACCACCACCCCCGCCGTTACCGGGCACCTCCCGGTCCCGGCCCCCCCGGCCCGGCCGTACCTGGGTGAGGCAATACGGGGAGTACATGGCGGCGGTGTCAGCCGCGGCGGGGCATGGCGGGGGGGTCCGGGGGGTGCCGGGGGGTCCCGGGGGTCCCGGTGCCGGCGGCGCGCGGGGAAAGTTTTGCCCGAAGTTGGCGCCCGCCGCACTTTTGCCGCGGGAAGCGCGCGCCGGCCACGCCCACCCGCGGAG